TCTTCATCAAGAGGCTCATTAATTCCTCTTAACTTTCTGCCATTAAAGTGGTATCATCTGCATATCTGAGGCTGTTGATATTTCTCCCAGATATTGCAGTATGGAAACCTATAAACATTTCATAAGTTTATATCCTCAAGTTATCCTTGAAGGATTCCATCACCTATGACAAGGAAATTTTGTTATGAGAGTTACGGGGTCCTTTAACAAGCTATGAGACAAGTCAGGTACTGTTATCCAAAGTTCCTAAGCAGTCTCAAATACTGGAATAGGAATTCTTCCCCTAGGAAGATATCTCTAATGCACTTTATTTAATTTTAAATGTCATTAATATCACAAACTAAGATTCAGAATTTCCGGGGATATCTGGAAAACTAATTGAGGGATGTTGGAAAAGTGAAATTACAAAAGGGTTTCTGGTTTTGCTTTAGAATATGAGAAGTTCGTGATAAAATGGCTAAATGACAGACAGGAGAGAGGATGTGTTTCTATCACTGGAGTCAGAGGCCTATGGACCGAACGGCTGAGGCACACACTGAGGAAGGAATGTCTGACAGTAGAGATGCAGGGAGCACTGCCAAAATCCCTAAGCAAAATGTGGAAACCCTTCTACAAGTTTCTGCCTGGAACACATATCTAATACATCGAGTCTTCACATACCAGTGTTTTCCAGGTAGGCATCAATAATGGTCCTGATTCACCTTCAAATACCACATGAGGCAAAGATTATCATTCTGGTCTTTCATACAGTTCATGAGGTTCTCATGACAAGTATACTGGGGTGGTTTGCCATTTCCTCCTCCAGTGTATCATATTTTGTCAGAACTCTCTGCTATGACCCGTCCATCTTGGGTGGCCCTGCATGGCATGGCTCTTAGTCTCATGGAGTTATGCAAGCCCCTTCGCCATGACAAGGCAGTGATCCATGAAGAGATCAAGAAGAGATAGAAATAATACATGGAAGGTAAAGGTGAAGTCACTCAGTCGTGTCCAAGTCTTTGCGACCCCACGGACTGTAGCCCACCAGGCTCCTCCATCCATGGAATTTTCCAGGCAAGAGGACTGGATTTGGTTGCCATTTCCCTCTCCAAGAATACATGAAAGAACTGTATAAAACAGACCTTAATGAACCAGGCTACTATGATGGTGTGGTTAGTCACCCAGAGCCAGACATTCTGGAGTATGAAGTCAAGTGAGCCTTAAGAAACACAGCAGTTAATAAAGCTAATGGATGTGAAGAAATTCCAGCAGAACTATTCAAATCCCTAAAGGAGGATGCCATCAAGGTTTTGCATTCATTATGTCAACAAATCTGGAAGACCCAGCAGTGGTCACAGGAATGGAAAAGGCTAATTCTCATCCCAATTCCCAAAAAGGACAGTACTAAAGAATGTGCTACATCAGACAATTGCATTCATCTCCCATGCTAGTAAGGTTATGCTTAAAATATTGCAAGCTAGGCTTCAGCATTTTACGAAACAAGAACTTCCATTATGTCCAAGCTGGGTTTAGAAAAGGAAGAACTAGCGATGAAATTTTCAATGTTCACTGGATTATAGAGAAAGCAAGGGAATGTCAGAAAAACATCTATCTCAGTTTCATCCACTAGGCTAACACTTTTGTGGATCATGAAAAACTGTGGAAAACTCTTAGAGAGATGGGAATGCCAGACCATCTTACCTGTCTCCTGAGAAACTTGTATGCAGGTCAAGAAGCAACAGTTAGAACCCTGTATGGAACAACTGATTGGTTCAAAATCGAGAAAAAAGTACAACAAGGCTGTCTGCTGTCACCCTAGTTGTTTAACCTATCCCCTGAACACATCATGAAGAATGCCAGGCTGGATGAGTTACAAGCCAGAATCAAGATAGGTGGGAGAAACATCAACAACCTCAGATATGTAGATGATACCACTCTAATAGCAGAAAGTGAAGAGGAACTCAACATCCTCTTGATTATGGTGAAGGAGAGTGAGAGAGCCAGTTTAAGACTAAATATTAAAACTAAGATCACGGCATTCGGCCCCATTACTTCATGGCAAATAGAAGGGGAAAAGGTGGAAGTAGTGACGTACTTCTGTCTCCTGGACTCCAAAATCACTGCATATGTGACTGCAGCCATGAAATCAGAAGATGATTGCTTCCTGGCAGGAAAGCAATGACAAACCTAGACAGCATGTTGAAAAGCAGAGACATTACTCAGCCAACAAAGGTCCATATAATCAAGGCTATGGTCTTCCCAGTGGTTATGTACGGTTGTGAGAGCTGGACCGTAAAGAGGGCAGAATGCCAAAAAATTGATGCCTTTGAACTGTGGTGCTGGAAAAGACTCCTGAAACTCCCTTGGACAGCAAGGAGATCAAACCAGTCAATCTTAAGGGAGATCAATCTGAATATTCACTGGAAGGACTGATGCTGAAGCTGAAGCTCCAGTATTTTGGTCATCTGATGCTCACAGATGATTCATTGGAAAAATCCCTGATGTTAGGAAAGAGCAAGGACAGAAGAAGAAGAGGGCATCAGAAGTTGAGATAGCTGGACGGCATCACCGATGCAATGAACATGAACTAGGGCAAACTCCTCCAGCAGGTGGTGAGGGACAGGGAGGGCAGGCCATGCTGCAGTCTGTGGGGTCACAAAGAGTTGGACACAGCTGGGCAACTGAACAATAGCAGCAATCGTTGTGGTGCTAATGAGTGATGGACGGTGTTATGAGATGAATTCCCAGTACCTCAGAATGTGGCTTTATCTAGAGACAGGGTCTTTAAAGAGGTGATTAAATTAAAATGAGCCCATTCGATATGCTGTAATCTCTGAAGTCGCTCAGTCGTGTCCAGCTCTTTGCGACCCCATGGACTGTAGCATATCAGGCTCCTCCATCCACGGGACTTTCCAGGCAAGGGTACTGGAGGGGGTTGCCATTGCCTTCTCCACATAAGGACACCAGTCAATTCTAATTTTGTATGAAATCCTGGTTAAGTCAAGTCAACATTTCAATGGCCTCCATTTCTGTACCAGTGGAGATTGAAAAGGCCAGTCTCATAGGAGTTTTGTAGGGGATTAAATGAATTGATATATGATAATTGATATATACATATATATATATATACACACGTCTATATATATATGTGTATATATACATGTAAAGTATTAAACTGTAGCAAGAATACAGTGCTATATGTAAGTGATATTATTCATCCTTATAAGAAGAGGAAATCAAGACACAGAAAAGCGACACCCAGCACAGAGGAAGGACCATGTGAGGACACAGCCAAGAAGTGGCCATCTGCAACTAAAGAGAGAGGTGTCAAGGAAACCAGACCTGCCAACACCTTGACCTTGAACTTCTAGCCTCCAGAACTGTTAAGAAAATATATTATGTTGTTTAAGCCATCCTATCAGTGATTTTTTTAATGAAAGTTCCAGAAAACTAATATAGCAGGAAAGCAAAAGCATAGAGACTGTGACTATAGTTGACAGATGAGTTTAGAAACACACATAAAACAAATCTGGGGAGCTTCCAGACACAAGTGAGGGGGAGCTGAGGAACAGGAACTCCTGGAATGAATGGGTAAATGGGGGAATGCCAAGGACATTTAGATTATTCCCAATGACTCTTCAGTAACATAGGTTTGAACCGCATAGGTTCCACTTACAGAGGGTTTTTTTTTCCCCAATATATACTATAGCACTATGTAATCTGTGCCTGGTTGAACCCATGCATGTGGAACCATAGATAATGAAAACCAACTATGGGATGTGAGCATCAGTAGATTTTGGTATTTGTGGTGGGTCCTGGAACCAATCCCCCAAGGATAACTAGGGATGACTGTATTTCAAAAATGATCACTTATAAATATCACAATTAACATGTATTGAACTTTGGAGAAACATGTGAAGTGAAAGTTACTCAGTCATGTCTGACTCTTTGTGACCCAATGGACTGTAGCCCACCAGGGTCTGCCCCTGGGGATTCTCCAGGCAAGAATACTAGAGTGGGTTGCCATGCCCTCCTCCAGGGCATCTTCCCAACCCAGGGATAGAATCCAGGTCTCCTGCATTGTAGGCAGATTCTTTACCAACTGATCCACCAGGGGAGCCTGGAGAAACAGGAATAGGGGTTAAAAACCACAGACTCAAGAGCCTTAGGTTTCAATTTTGATTTTGTACACAATCCTGGGTAAGTTAGTTAACATTTCTACGTCTCAGTGAAGATACAACAAGGCCAATCTCAGAAGGTTTCTGTAGGGATTAAACTAATTGATATATATATATAGTATTAAACTGGGCCAAGAATACAATGATGCATGTGTTAGCTGTTATTATTTATTATCATTATGGGCAGACACTAGTCAAAGTGTTGAATCAATATTCACAGAAATTTTTAGGTGCCTGAAATATGGTAAGGTAAACTTTGTTACTCATGATCACACCATTAGTAAGTGAATAAGTGGTAGACCCCAGATCTGACATTAACGATTATGGGCCTATAAATTATTGTGCTCCATGAAACAAAGCCTTTATTTACAATGCATTATAAAATGCCAAACGGATCACTAAACAGGGATATTTCTGTTTACAGGATTTACATGAATCCAAGGAACTTCTCAAAATTTACACATTTTTTAAAAGTTCATTTATTTCATTACTGCATTCTGAGTGGAGAATGATACTGTTTGGATGGTGTGTTGAAGCAATGAGCTTCTTTTTTTTCTAAAGACATTTTATCTGTTAATAATAAGTAAGAAAGGGAAAAATTCAAAGAGAAACATTTGATTAAGGTAAACAGAAATAAACAGCTTTAAAATATATTCAGAATGCTTTACCATATGCATCTTAAAGTATTCTATATTTTTGATTCTTAAAAACTTGTACATGAAAAAGAAATATACAAATTTCAGAATGAACAATGCAGTCTAAAAGAAATACTAATTGCACTGTTTCCATTTACAAGTTTTTCAATTCACAAACAAGCTGTTACATTTGATGGATGAAGGCATTTTATATTTCATGTGGTTTGCATGTGCTTGGAGTGAGAAATAGCTCCTTGCTTTCTTTAAGTACAAAATTATAGATGCACAGTGGTGGTCTGTGAAAGAGAAGAAAAGAGAGAAAAAATAACTGTTAGTAATAACAGCAAAGTTTACTTCCTTCTCATAAATATAAAAATATCCTATGCCTATAACTGGCTCAGACAGTAAAGAATCTGCCTGCAATGGGTGATCGATCCCTGTGTTCGATCCCTGGGTTGGGAAGATCCCCTGGAGAAGGGCAGGGCAACCCACTCCAGTATTCTTGCCTAGAGAATCCCTATGGACAGAGGAGCCTGGCAGGCTACAGTCCATGGGGTCACAAAGAGTAGGACATGGACTAAGCATAGCACATGCCTATAACTAACAAGTTCCCTAAAAGCAGGGAGTGGAAAAAAACCTACAGGATCATTTCTGCTCCATCTCATTTGTCTATGTAGAGATGAATAGACATAATATTTGTGAGAAAGAAAAAATTCTCTGTACTTCAATACCCTCTCTCCTTGTTGCTTCACTGGAATACTTACACTGAATAGGAAATATTTTAGGATACTGAAACAGCCAAAAACTGAACTCAACTCTTAGTGGCTAGGCCAGTTCTTCTATCATGATAGCCACCACAGAAGAGTTGGACTGAATTCACAGACAATTTTGCCAAAATATTTAAATCAATCCTCTGCCACCTGCTAAAATGGAAATAATAACATTTAAATCATTCTATATCTTGGAGAAATTGTGTATTCAATATTTCAAGATTTCTGAGAATTCAAGTCACTGTGGTGAATCATGTCCTGTAATTTATCTTCTTGTTAATATCTTAAAACCCTCAAAAAAGTAATCAACTGAAATAAACAAAGATTGGTCAAAGTTGAGGAAAGGAGCTAAAGGAAAAAAGTGGTAGAAATAAATGGAAATTTCCAGTACCAGCCATACAAATGTAATCAAGGAAAAGGGGACAATTCAACTGCACAGGCGCTGGTTAGCTCACACTTATTTGACACGTGCACTGCTCTAGATCAAGAGATACATTTCTTCCCATCATCTTCTAACTTGGGACATGACTAAACACATTTTAAAATATTCAACAATATTGTTAGGTTAAATTCTTCCATTTTAAATCAACTTCCTATATCTGATAACATTTGAAAATTAATAAAATATGGACACATTTATCTTTAATTATAAAAGCTGATATAGAATATTACAGTATTTTTCCACTTGAAGTAATAAATACATTTGAAAATTTAATAGTATAGAAGTGTGAAATATCAGTACTTCAATCTTGAAAGATTCTTAGATATTAGCAAAAGTAGCTTTGTGGTAAATTGTCAAGAGATCAGAATGTAATTGAAAAATCAGACATAATCCTTTCTCCATTATTAAGTGGAAGAATGACTTTAACACTTCCCCTAACAAATGCATATATTCTTATGTCAATTTTTAATTTAGCCTGATAAAGACTTTCTTCACTGAGTGAGCCTTCAACAGTCTGGATGTCCCTGATTCACTTCAGTTTTAAGTTGTCATAGTCAGACAAGGGTGTCAGATTTATTATCAGGTTGGTGAAAATGACTGCGGATTCAGACTGTGGATTTTAAATCACTGTAACTAGGCTCAAACACATCTTTATTAAACAAAATAGGAACCATTAAAATCAACATTTTGCCAATGAGAAATAAGTTTGTTTATTCCTGTAGCATAAAAACCCATGCTTCAGTATTCAATGAACTCTTGGAAAGCATTTTCTGCCTCCTGCTGGTTGTGGAAGTGTCTTCCCTGCAAAAAGTTGTTGAGACACTTGAAGAAGTGGCAGTCAGTTGGCGAGAGGTCAGGTGCATATAGTGGGTGAGGCGAAACTTCTGTAACCCAGTTCCTTCAGCTTTTGAAGCATTTGTTTTGTGATGTGTGGTCATGTGTTGTCATGAAGAAGAACTGGGCCCTTTCAGTTGACCAATGCTGGCTGCAGTCATTGCAGTTGTCAGTACATCTCATCCATTTGCTGAGCATACTTCTCACATGTGATGGTTTCGCTGGGATTCAGAAATCTTTAGTGGATCAGACAGGCAGCAGACCACCAAACAGACCATTTTTTGGTGAAAATTTGGCTTTGGGAAGTGCTTTGGAGCTTCTTCTTAGTCTAAACACTGAGCTGATAGTCACTGGTTATTATATAAAATCCACTTTTCATTGCACATCAAAATCTGATTGAGAAATGGTTCATTATTGCATAGAGTAAGAAAGAGAAGACAACACTTCAAAGGATGATTTTTTTGATCTTCAGTCAGCTCAAGAGGTACCCACTTATTGAGCTTTTTCACCATTCTAATTTGCTTCAAAAGCCAAATGACCATAGAATGGTCAACGTTGAGTTCTTCAGCAACTTCTTGTGAGTTGTAAGTGGATCAGCTTTGATGATGGCTCTCAATTTGCTGTTGCCAACTTCCTACGGTGGGCCACTACGCTCCTCACGTTAAGGCTCTTGTCTCCTTTGCAGAGCTTCATGAACCATCACTGCCCTGAATGATCCTTAGCAGTTCATGGGCCAAACGTGTTGTTGATGGTGCTGCTTTCTGACCCATTTTGAACTCAAATCTCTCAAATTGCTTTCTGTCTAACATAATTTCCCTAGTCTAAAATAAATATAAAATAAACAGGAAGTGTTAAGTCATTAGCAAAAATATAAATAAATATGGTGAGAAATGTGCATTAAAATGATGTATAACATAATTACATTTATTTAAGAATGTATTCCAATATCAAATAGCAAAGTTCAACAATGCAAAACTGCAATTACTTTTGCACCAACCTAATAATAAATTGTATCTGTCATCAAGTAATTGTCCTACTAACATATTTTAATACAATCTTAAAGCAAGTGTGTTTTTGTTTATTTTCTACAATAAAATGAAAGCTCATTATCCTATTACAATTGACATATGTTCAATATAGTAAATGCATATATTCTATTAAATATTCCACATTTTACAAAGCTTTCACAAGCATTATAGAACAATTTGGTCAGGTTCATTACAGCTTCCAAAGTTAAATATTACCAAAATATATGAGGAAAATTAATTTTCCTGTTTTTACATTGTGAAAGCCTATATAGTTCTATTGCCAGGAGACTCTAATATTGAGATCATTTATTCTATGTTATTAATAGTTCCTTATCCTCAGGATAAAAAAATTTAAACTGTATAATTAGAAAAAAATGTGATATATGTTGAAATATTATAGGAATAAGAATATTTAGTGTTTCTTTAAATAAAAAAAGCATTGGATGTTACATTTCTAAAGCTTTGTTTACCACAAATTAGCAGAAATGAGCACAGTACATTGACAAAGCATAAACTTCAGTGAAAATACAGAAGAAATCCAAGAATTAAAAAAATCTCTAAAATTCAAATACAATTAGTTTTTAATTTTAATCCATATATATTTTACAAAATACAATAAGTATTCATGCTTCTTTATTTCTAAAATATCTCCCCTAAGGCTTTTGTACAACATATCACATTTATGCATCTAGTGTTCTTTTAAAAAGTTACTTAGGATAAGGTTCCTAGCACTAACAAAGGTATCTGTTCCTACGTGCAGGTAACTGAGTAAAGAGGAAATCTTGCCTTAGGAGTGGGGATTATCACCCATAAAGTTAGCATGATTCCAGTCCTACCTAAAAAACTTTGAAAGCAGAACCTGAAAGAACCAATCTTCCTAAAAGTAACTAACCAGTATCGTGAGAATAAAAGAAGATTTATAAGAATATAAAAATATGGAGCACCTAACATGATAAAATACACACTGTCTGGCATCTAATCAAGAAATACCAAGTGTGCAAAAAAGCAGGAAAATTGACCCATATGAAGGCAACCAATTGAAATCAACCAAGAGCTAGCACAGATGTGAGAAGCAGCAAAGACATTGTTGTTGGTGGTGGTGGTGGATTTCAGTTGCTAAATTGTGTCCAACTCTTTGGGACCCCATGGACTGCAGCACACCAGGCTTCCCTGTCTTTCATTATCTCCTGGAGCTTGCTTAAACTTATGTCCATTGAAAAAGTGATGCCATCCAACCATCTCATCCTCTGTTGTCCCCTTCTCCTCCTGCCTTCAGTCTTTCCCAGCATCAGGCTCTTTTCCAGTGAGTCAGCTCTTCCCTTCAGGTGGCCAAAGTATTGGAGCTTCAGCTTCAGCATTAGTCCTTCCAATGAATATTCAGAGTTGATTTCTGTTAGGGTTGACTGGTTGGATCTCCTTGCAGTCCAAGGGACTCTCAAGAGTCTTCTCCAACACCACAGTTCAAAAGCATCAATTCTTCGGCGCTCAGCTTTCTTTATGGTCCAACTCTCACATCCATACATGACTACTGCAAAAACCATAGCTTTGATTATATGAACCTTTGTCGACGAAGTAATGTCTCTGCTTTTTAACATGCTGTCTAGGTTTCTCATAGTTTTTCTTCCAAGATGCAAGTGCCTTTTAATTTCATGGCTGCAGTCACCATCTGCAGTGATTTTGGAGCCCAAGAAAATAGTCTGTCACTGTTTCTGTTGTTTCCCCATCTATTTGCCATGAAGTGATAGGACCTGATGCCATGATCTTAAATTTTTGGATGTTGAATTTTAAGCCAACTTTTTCAGTCTCCTCTTTCACTTTCATCAAGAGGCTCTTTAGTTCCTCTTTGCTTTCTGCCATAAGGGTGGTATCATCTGCATACCTAAGGTTATCGATATTTCCCCCAGCAATCTTAACTCCAGGTGGTACTACATCCAGCCTGGCATTTTGCATGATCTATTCTGCATATAAGTTAAACAAGCAGAGTGACAAGATACAGCCTTGATATCAGTTCAGTTCAGTTCAGTCCAGTTCAGTTCAGTTCAGTCACTCAGCTGTGTCCAACTCTTTGTGACCCAAAGGACTGCAGCATGCTAGACTTCCCTGTCCATCACCAACTCCCAGAGTTTACTTAAACTCATGTCCATTTAGTCGGTGATGCCATCCAATCATCTCATCCTCTGTCATACCCTTCTCTTCCTGCCTTAAATCATTCCCAGCATCAG